TGTCTTTTGGATAGTGGACATTCTGACTGGTGTGAAGTGATAACAGTGTTAACTGTCCATACATTAGAATTATTTGTGTGTGTGTGAATGGAACCTTTTGTCATTTGAAAAGTCATATTTTGAAATAATATAGATTTACAGGGAGCTGCAAGAATAGTACAGAGAGGTCTTCTGTACCTTCCACACAGTTTCCCCCAATGGTTACATCATACATAACTATAGTGTGATATCAAAATTAGGAAACTGGCATTGGTACAATGTATGTGTATGGTTCTATGCCATTTTATCACACCATTGCAATCAAGATACAGAACTATTCCATCACCACAAAGTTCTCTTTTGTGCTGTCTCTTTCTAGTCACACACACTCCATTCCACATACTAAACTCCTGGTGACCACTTACCTGTTCTCCATCTCTGTAATTATTTTTATTTCAAGAATGTTATATAAATGGGACCACAAAGTATGTGACCTTGTGATATTGTCCCTTTTTTTCATTCAGTAAAATTCCCTTGAGATCCTCTCAAGTTGATGTGTATATCAAGAGTTCATTCCTTTTTATTACCAAATAGTATTACATGATGTGGATGTACAATTTGTTTAACCATTGACTTATTTTGTTAATCTTTAATAATGCTTTCTGTCTTAAAATCTATTTTGTCTCATATTAATTTGGCAGTACCAACTTCCTTTTGGTTAGTGCTTGCATGGTATAATTTTCTGCCCTTTTACTTTCAAACTTTCTGCATGCTTATTCCTTAGCATGTAGCTAGATTTTAAAAATCTGACAATAACTTCTAACTAATAAGTGTAGCCCATTTTCAGTTACTGTGACTACTAATTGTGATTACTAACACATATGAACTATGTGATTTCTATTTGTCTGGCTTGTTTGAGGCTTCACTTTTCCCATTTCTTATTATCTTTTATGTTAAATTTTTTAGTGTATTTTTTTCCTTTAATGCCTTAGACATTATACACTCTATTATTTTAGTGGTCACTCTTGAAATTTTATCATTCATGACTAACTGAAGTCTAGAGGTAATCAATATATAAATAATAAGTGAGAGCCCCAATTGTGATTAATTTGGAATGATATAAACTTATGTTTTTAGTCAGGCCCACTCAAAATCTATAATCTACGTTTTTGTTCTGATATTGCCATTTCACCCTAGACTTAAGGTGTTTTCATATTTCAAAGCATAAGGGTACATAAGGCAAATTGCTATTTATTTTCCTTATAAGCAGGGCACAGTGAGAACTATTTTCAAAAGGCCAAGAAAAGGTATTCTGGTAAAGTGGTGAATTTAACTGATATCAGGACTAAGTAATAGAAAAGGCCAATTTCTCAACTCATTCTTCAGATTGTCTTGGTCTGACAGCTTTAAATGGAAGGACATTGTTACAGTAGGATTCTTTAATGGCTCTATTTTATCTTTTACTTTGAATCAGGTATTCCATAATTTAGTTTACTCATTGTTTCCACTGGAAGTTGCTCAGTGTCCTTAGAAACAAACATCTGATACCACTAATTCCTTTTCTCCATGAAATCATCCTATAAGCGAAACTACCTTGTCACCTAGAACCAACCTATCATAAGAGGGAAAGCACTCTCAGTGAATAGTAGGTTGTTAGTTTTCAACCCCAGATTGTGGAAGGAAGTCTCATTTGTACGTTGCCCATCTCAACCCCAAAAGCCCATGTTTTCTTGTTACTCCATTGCTTGCTACCCCATTTTTTATCTTAGTCTGTAGCCTTTTGCTTAGGCACAAAAATGGAATTTAAGGCAAGATATTGCGATAAATCTTACAAGTAACAGAAAATTGAATAACCTTGCTGATAAAGAGTGGAAACAAGTGCAGCTCCAGAGACTCCAAGAGCAGGAGTTTGTGTCACTTCATCCTTGTGCTCGACCACTAAAATTACAGCCCTGTATTCTCAGTCCTCCCATTTATCAGTTCATATGCTTAAAAGAAAAAGAACAAGATCACTTCCTGATCCAATTGTTTATCCAGACCACCAATAAATTAAAGCAAGGAAGGCAGTACTGTTCAGTGTAAACATGGTTGTGAGAACTGTCGCATGTCACCCATGTCCTGGACATACAATTTAAAAGGTAAAAACTATAGTACAGAATGTTTAAGGAAATGTTTCCACAGTCACATTTCAGCAATAATAGAACACTATACAGCTGGTGCTCAATTCCTGGTGCCTGTTGTTATTTTACTAAGTCAAATCTTCTCAAAGAAATCTCAGCCACCCTTGAGTATGCTGTTGATCTTTCACATGTGATGTTATTGAAGACACAAAAACTCAGACTTTAGGAAAAGAAATATTTGCCTATTGTGTGATTCTTAGCTCATTCATAAAGCCAGATGACATATCTCTATGCATGGGAATAGGTTTGATCTGAAGGGGATGGAAGTTTCCACTGCTAATTAGAGCAAAGGAAGCTGGTTGGATTACCTTAATAGCTAGGATCAAGCTAAGAGATGCTAATGCATCCATCTTCAGTACAGGAGCTCAGATACCACCCCTACCTTACCTAGAAGAAGATATTTCTATTCCAGGATTGATATCTTTTTAGCTTCTCCTTATTAAGGGTTCAAACCATCTTGGGTCTAGCCTCACCCAGGATCATCTTATTACCACAGCAATGATATTCTTTATTACATGGCCGTGGGTTCAATGTCAAAAACTGAGTAAGATCAACATTAGGCTTGAGAGTCTTCGGTCCGTTCTCTCCTAAAAGGAGAAAAAGGAAAAAGGCCTTAACTTTCCTTTGAAAGATCCACCACTGATCTTCTCAAAAAACTTCTCAAGTATTATAAGCTGTCAAGCCTGCAGCTGTGGATGCAAGTTTTCCAAAATTCTCACTTCACTTGAAAGCTCACATTTAATTGTTGGTGACGAACACTGTCAGTTGTTTTCCTTGAAGGCCCACCTCATTCATTTCCAAGAAAATGTCTGCTCAATAACCAAGTCTGAAAAACCATGGTTTTGTACCAGTTTTTCAAGTAAAAATGGTGTTCACAGAAAAGAGCAGCTAATTGAGGAAGAAACTCAAATGATTGTGCAAAGACTTTTCTTCAAGGCAACCTCTGGAGCAGAAGTGTTTTGTGTACACTTCCTATTTTACCACACCAAACATTAAAAAGACATGCACTCAAGCAACAAGATTTAATAAAATTTATAATTTTATTATAAAAGACTCCATTAAGGACATCTTAAAATCAAACGATTTTTAAAAAAGTTTTGAGTGTGTGGCTGTAAAGAAATCAATCACCACTGGTACAGTCTGGGGACACTTGATCTATGGTAAGGCATCAGAAGTTTTACCCACCGTTACTTTTGTACCATTAGTACAAATGTCAACACACTGAAAATAGCAGATAATATGTTAGTATTGTTTTGAGGATATTTTTGACTTTACAATTTCAGGACCTGTAGTGGTCTATAGACTACACATTGAGAGCCACTGATGTACAATATAACCCCACTTCTGTGTAAAAATACAGAGATGACATAATAAACATCAGAAAAATTTTTCCCAATTTTCAATTGCAGGAGCCTTTCTTGACTGATGCCGCAGGTTCTTACATATGGTGAATATCTTTTCATGCCAGTAATATGGAATTATATTACACGTTTTAACAGTTGTGCATTTTACTGTGTGGACATACCACTTACTGTTTAGCCAATTCCATACTGTTTAGAGAGTTAAGTTGCTTCTAATTTTTCTCTTAGAAACAGTGCTCAAATGACCATTCTTGGATATTCCTCTGTGTAAAATTATTTGATTCTTTCCTTAGGTGAAAAAAAACCCTATGAATGGAATGTTTGGCTGAAAGGCAGGTATAACTTGAAAGCTTCTTATGCAGATTATCAAACTGTCTTCCATATAAATTGTATCAATATATAATACCAATCTGTCCCTTTCCTATGTGGCCCCCTCCTATGAGTCTCTATCTCCATCCTTGCCACAGTCTACCACATATTTGCATAAAAATAAGGGTTTTGTGAATGGTGTCAGGGGAGTAGGCTGGGTCTGGAAAATCTCTGGGACCCTTTTCATTTCCTTCTTTCATTGCTTCAGTGGGCCAGGGAGGAGAGGTGGGAAGATGCATCTGCAATTAAGGGAACTCAGGGATGGGGGTGGGATTCCCATAAAGGCCTCACCACTACCCCTCTTCTAAAGGAAGCAGACCTGGGCCTCTAACCCTAGGGGGAAAAAAAAACACCACCACTCTTTGCTCCAGGAGTCATTGCCTCACACTGCTTTTTTCTCATCATTAGAAAGGGTAATTCACTTTGGCATTACTTGGTCTCTAGAATTGCCCAAGAGGGTTTTCTCTGTCAGGGCCTGCACCGGTTGTACAATCCTCCCTGTCTGTTGACCTACAGCTAAGTCAGGCAGCAGATCTTGGTGCTTTTTGGGGGGTAAGCATCTCTTATCACCACTATTCCCTAACAGTTATTATAGTCATCACCCTATTTCGCTCTTCGTCTCATGCTTGGTTTATCATAGCTTACTTAAAAAAATGTCTAATTTCCAGTCTCCATGCCTGATCCCATCCTATCTCCAAGCTATTTTGCACATTGCCACCAGGTTACTTTTCCTTTTGTCAAAAACGCCTAGAAACTCCCAGAATATGACACGATTTCAGTATCTCAGCTTGGCATTCAAGCTCTTTTCCCAACTTTCCTCATCCATATTTTCACCTTTTATCTCTCATCATTCCTCTTCCCACAGCTTTCATTCCAGGCAAACCAGTTACCTTTCTATTCAAGCCATTTTCCCCTTCTGGAGTGCCATGTTTTCTCATGCAGTCCTTCAGGGCCCAGCTTATGTGCTTTTCCTCCTTGAAGGTTTCTAGCAACTTGTTTCATTTAACCAGATGATGTCTATTTGACAGTATGCCAAGGTACTGTTAGTAATCATTTTTTATTTATGTACTTATCTCTCCGGCTAGATTTAAAATTCAAGCATGAGAACAAATTTTTATCATTTGAAACATACAACTTTATTGATGATACACAAATGAAGTCTTTGGTGAATAAATTCAAGTCAAAACAAATGATAGAAGTGTAGGCTATTTATCATGGACAGGTTCACTGTCAATTCACATAGAGGAACAAGTAAAAATATTTCCATTCAAGCAGCACAATTAAAGTCACAAATGTGTTTTTAGTACAAGAGGACTATTTATTTGGTATTCATAAAATGGTTCAGCTTAAAGCTGGAGACTGTCACAGATAACATCACTCTGGATGATGCATTATTTAAAACTGGCAGCTGAAAGGATCCCTTTACTATATGAGCAAGTGGAAAAGCAGTAACTTTCAATTTTTTTTGCTCCCAGACTGCAATACGTTTCAAGTCTTTTGAGGGCACCTAGCCAATCAGAATTTGTCCACTAGTTTTATGACTTTCACTTTCACCAAGAGATCATGGTGATCTGCTAAGGCTCGAATTTTCTTAACACACACTCCAGATGTAGTGCATAAGTAAAAAAGGGAACCTTTATTGAATTCTCTGTAGTTGAATACTTCTGCTCTGAGATTATCATAGATTATCTCAAATAGGGTTAGGGCATTAATAAGAATTTCTGATTCCACATAAGAGTTATAGAGGGAACTAAACGATGCTGGCACTTGGGTACTGAGCAGTTTTTTTAACATATCTGGATTTTCAGCAAAATTCGAAAGTATTTTCAAAATCTCAACCTTGATTTTTCCACCTCCCTGAGATAGCAAACGGAAAAAGTTTGCAATGGAATTGACAAGCAGGTGCTGGTAGTCATTAGTAATAGTCATATTTGTTAAAAATTTTAGTCCAACTACCTGTACTGCGGAGTTCAGGTTAGAGGCCATGATATCATCCATCACTTTATTCATGTATACCTGAAGACGGCCTTGATTTTCATAATTCTCACTCAGGTTATTCATGGCCATTAAGGCTTTTTCCTTAATGTGGGGATCGGTTTTGTTGATCATATTTGCAATAATTGGGAGGCCTCCCAATTTTCGAATTGTGTCTTGGTTGCATGAATAATTGGCATTGTTGCTCAAAGTAAGCAAAGCTACTTGTTGGATGAAAGGATCATCCGATTTTTGTAGCAAAGCAAGTACTTTCCTGAGATCTCGGACACCCAGAATCTCATCAATTTCATAAGGAAAGGGGCGCTTCTGCATGGGAGGGGGTCTCCTTCCTCTCCCTCTCTGCTGAGTATCAGGCTCAGAGTCTGACTCCGACTCTGTGTCAGTCCACCCAGACTCCCCTTCCTCAGAATCAGGAACCTCTGCCAGAAAAGCCTGTCCCCCATTAGCGGAGGCTGCCGCAGCTGCCGCAGCCCCATCCCCAGGGCGGAAGCCCAGCCCCAATTCATCTACTTCAACCTTGTTTTTCTTGCCCTTGCCCTTGCCTCCAGTCCGGGACCTGGTTCCGCTCTTGGCTCCACCTTTGGGTACAGCTCCCGTCGCCGACCCGGTCTTAGGTATAGCTCCAGTATGAGCCCCAGGGGTCGCTTTCTTGGCAGAGGCTGCTGTTCTAGGAGACCCTGAAGTCCCAGGGGCCTCTGCAGCCCCGGGGGATGCTGCCGCCAACGCAGTAGGCGCTGCGGGTACCAGAGCCTCCGCAGCAGCCTCGGGAGGTGCTGGCGCCCCGGGAGGCACCCCAGGCGCCTCTGCTAGGCTAGAGGCTTCTGCCAATTTGGGAGCCCCTGCCATTGTGGGAACCTCTGCTTCCCCGGGTGTTGGAGCCATTACAGAAGGTGCTGAGGCCCCAACTACTGGCTCCGCCTTAGGCGCAGCCCCGGCTTGTTCTGCTTCCTGGCCCTGACTTCCTGCCCCACTCTGAGGTTCAGCACTGTGTGCAGCTGGGGCGACTGCCTCAGCTCCAGTCATGTCCAGAACAGAGGCATCATCCTGGGCCCTGTCCTCTGCCCCTGGGCGAACTGGGATTGGAGGACCGAATCCAGGCCCAAGGTCAATTGTGAATCCGGCCCTTATCCCAGCCCTAGCCCTGGCTCCAGTCCCTGCCACAGCCCTGGCCTTGGGCAGTCTCTTCTTCATCTGGTTTCTTCCCCTGGCGTATTTGTAGACACAGTACCAGGCACTAGCCCCGATCACTATCCCCGCGGCTACACAGCCAGCATCCCGAACGCGGCTCATGGTGCAGCTGGAATAATTCTCTGACCGAGAGTGTGCAGCTGACTTGCCCAAGTGGGATGCGTCACGTCTGGACCAGGCACTTCAGCTCAGGCTGGGGCTGCAAGCTTAGCAGGACCTGGGGTAGAGGATAGAAATGAGGCTTAGGGCTCTGGTTCACTTCGTGTTTAACCAGGCCTGCTTGCAGGAGAGTTTGGCACATAATGCTTGGTGGTTGGGCTAGTACCCAGAACAGGATTCATGGCCTGTGTGTGCGGATTCAGGGCCCTGGTTGTCCAACATTTCCTACATCTTCATCCTTAGCCTGCCTTGCCCAATGCCAACAAACACAATTTCCAAGCACCTTAATGGGGGATGAGAGGTAATAGGGACATCAGGAAGGCTGGTGGAGAGTGGGAAAGACAGTAGAGATCCAAGATTCTTCTCTGATCCCCCAACTTCCACCCCAAGGGTCTCCAGATGGTGCTCATGCACATACCAAAACCTGCTGGGAACAGGAGCACTTTAGTCTCTTCCACCAGGCATGTACTTGTACAGGGCCCAAAAAGCAGACAGACCTGCAGAGAGATCCCAGAAAGGGCTTTTTTTTGGGTCCCTTGGGCCTTGGTAGATTCCACTTCCTTTCCTAATTTGAACATCTGTGGGCCAATTTTCTCCCTCTCAGGGCTCCTTGTTCCTTCCTTATCTTCTCTTCCTGGACCACAATGCCACACCCCTTTCCCTGCACCAAAAAGGACAGGCCCTGGGCAAATGTGTCTTGTAAACAGGGAGAATATGGGGGAAGAAGAGTCTCTGGTTCCAGATTCTGCTCTGGTTTCTGCCAGTCCCACATCAGGTGTTCCCAGACAGACTACACCCCCCCACACTGACCTCCAAGGATTCAGGTCTGCTTCTCCTTCCTTCAGTTTAGTTAGAGCTTCATCCTAAGGACAGACTGAAGGGCAGATAGACAGTAGGCATTGGAGACCTAGGTCCTGGTGAATGGTAGATACCCAGGACAAGAGTCCCCATAATTGCATTCACATGCAATTCACATACCAGGACGAAAACGGTTCTACCTCTCAATTCCCTCAACTCTCTTCCCCCCATCTCACATCACCCCTCCTGCACTGACTCCCCAAGCACTCAACCCCTCCTCCCCTTTGCTCCGCCCCGCCCATCCGCCATTTCTCGGGCACACAGCCACACCCCTTCTCCTGCACCGAAGCGGGAGGGGGCGGGGCAAGGGTGCTGCGAAAGCGGGATGGGACGCGGAGCAGGGGATTACCGCCCAACAGTCTAGTGTCCCCCGCCTAAGACCACCGCTCCTTCAGTCCCTAGTCCCCAGGCTTAGCATGAGCCTGCAGAACAGGAGCCTGAAAAGTCTGCCCTTCCGGTTTGAGGGTCGTGACTTGCCACTGTTTCTCTGCTCTGGGCTCCGCCTCCCACCCCCCACCCAAATCCCCCTCCCACCCCGTAACCGCCATTTCTCCCGCCTGCGTACCCGAACTCCTGGTGCCGGGCTGAAAAAACGGGAGTGAAGGGCTGTGTGGGCCGGAGTTGTCTGGAGAGCAGCCTGGGAGTTAGCACGGCGGTTTAATCCCGCATTCTCTCAGAGTGCCCCCTCCTGTGAAGCCCCAACAGCGCCAAACCCGCCATCTCCCCTCCAGAGGGTGGCACTCCCATTTCCCAGCACCCCAAAGGCGAGGGGCCGGCCGGGGGAAGGGGAAGGGAGGGGCAGTGGTCGGGGAAGGTATCCGGAGAGTGAGGGTGGGAGTGAACTGGCTGGATTGTTTCCAAATTGCGTTCCCCTCCTGTCACCCTTTCCCAACCTCCCCACTGGCCTTATATGCGCTGCCACGTTATTTCTCTTCCCTCCTCCTCTCAAAACAGGACGGGATGTTGGGTGCGGGGCCTGAGTGCCAAAAACAAAACCAGAAAACACTGCCTGGTAGAGGAGGTAAGCGGAATCTCCGCAAGGATGTCTTGAGTCTTTACGTTTCCCCTCTTCCCCTCTCCCCGCCGCCCACCAAAATGAGCTGCGACTCCGCGCGGGGTTCTGGAAAGTCGGCCAGGAGCGGGCGAGGCGGAGGCGCCCGCGGCCTCAGACTCCTGCATCTCTGGGTTACCCCCTTTCAGGGGTGCCAGGCCATGCCCACCCTCACACCCACCTGCCCGGATCTGGGGGAATTTTGTCCTCCTCCTCCTCGCCTGGGTTAAACGCACGGCAGTGCGCAGCGAAATAGAGTTGGTACCCAGAGGAGGCCGGGGGACGGCGGTCCGGGCTTTAAGTACCTTTGCTCACGTCAGCTCCTGGTCACGTGAGGGCCGCATCGCCAGTAAGCTTGGGTCCCCAATTTCCACTCCCACCAAGAGCAGGACGAGACCTCTCCTTTACTCCCACTCCCACCACAGCCCATCACATAAGGTCCTGCCACTCAGTTTTTGCCTTTGTAGTCTCGAGGGCCAATAGAAGCCCCTTCTCCCTAGGTTAGTATTTGCCTTTCTCTGGTTACCGAGGAGAAGATGGACACTTCTGGAGGACTATTGACAATTTAACTTTTTTTTGTTGGGGACTTGTCTCATCTCTTCCTGGGCAACTAGACATGCTCCCCTCGCTCCATCTCCAATCCCCCATTCAAGAGGGCCCATCATTTTCCTTGCTTTTGGGCTCCTGCTCCAGCATAGGTAAGATGCAGAGTGTCAGAAAGGAGACAAAGTGTGGGACTGGGGTCTGTACTTCGGTAACACTCCCCTGTTTTGTTTTTAAAGTTCTCACCACCCATTATTATTATAGTAAGAAAATACAAGGAAACAAGAGTTTGGTGTGAGAAGCAACAACAAAAAAAGAAGGCATGTTTTATAAAAAAGATTTCCCACTAACATTGGAAGACATCATTAATTTTCATTATTTTTTAATGCATAGGAAATGAATTCTATTGGCCACATAGGAAATCATTTCCAAAACATGTTAAAGTATTTGAACATCTAAAACTGGAATTTTTCTCAACAAGATAAGCATGCTTCCATATGATCTCCATATTGATCCATGGAGAGCTGTTCAGTTGTCTGATCTTATTCATTTTGGACAAATAATATCCTACTTTTCCTCTTCTGGGACAGCTTTTAAGTTGGATTAATAAATGATCCTGTCTTGTTCTGTTAGAGAAACACATTTATTTAATGTTCACAAACCTTTGCTGACTGCTGTGTGAACCTCCTGTAATTTGGTGGCTTTAACTATGACAGTTTTGAACACCTGTCCCTGGATTAGGTTCCAGCTTTGTGATTCAGCTCTGGGCAAAAGGAAGAGCTTTTGAAAGAGCCAAAGAAATGATGGATGTGAGGGATGCAGAGATGGACAAATCCTCCTTGTCCTATCAAGAGAAGGGGGAAGGTGCTGCCCCTCTTCCCCCTCCCATATTCCAGAGCCTCTCATCCCCTGCAATCAGGCACCTAACTCTGTCGCTCACTCCAGAAGTATACATGAACAGGTGACCAAGGTGGTAAATGACATTTTTAGTCAGGTGACCAACCAGTGTCAATGCCTTTGGCTTCTTCCCTCCTTCAGAGGTAACTGGGGAGGACAGAAGGGATTGGTGCCCCCACTTTCCCCTGCAGCTGTGGGCTTCCATGAAGCCTGGAGGAGTGACTGCTGGGGGGAGCACCCAGGTCTGCCTGCTCTGCCCTCCTCCAAGTTAATGGTGCTCCTAACATTGCTGCTACCACCTGGCCTGAGAGATGCAACCTGCTGGGCTTCTCTCCTCTGGCCTCCTTCCTGCAAGGCAGTTAGGGAGAGCCTAACCTTACCGCAGGTCCCTACGTGCAGCCCAGACCCACCTTGGTGCTTCCTTAGCCGGATGTATGCACGCACAAGGTACTCTCCCCTCAGACCATACTGATTAACCTAGAGCAGGCATTCTCAGCTGGCCACCTCTGTGGTCTACCTGAAACTGTACAAAGGGTTTTGTTTGTGATTGTATGTGTGGTCTAGTGCTTTTTAGTTTTTTTTTAGGACTAGAGGTCATTGACCTCATCAGTTTCTCAAGGGGTCTGTGACCTCTCCTCCAGACATTAAGAATCAATACAATGGCCTAGAGAGTCTGTGTTATAGATAAGAGCCCAGATTAGGGTTTTTTTTTCTGGTAATAAAAGTAATATGTATTAGTGGTTAAAAAATATTCAGAACAATAAGGAAATATATAAAGTATCCAGGGAAAGAGCTCTGGGATTTTTTCCACTCACAGCCACTGCTGATGATTTCCAACTTTCTTCTTATGCACATGTTAGTAAATGCATTTGTGCTTGTAAATCAGCTCCAAACTGAGGAACAATAAATAAATAATCAGCATTTGGAATTTGTATTGTAATTGCAGTAAATTTGCAGATTAATTTGAGAAACATTAACATCTTAAAATCGAGGGTTCCCTTCAGGTATTTGGTATGTCTCCATTTTGCTCAGATCTATTTTATGTTTGTTAATCAGATTTTTTAAGTTTCTTCAGCTAAGTAATTCTATAACTTGTTAGGTTTTCCCTAGGTATTTAGTAATTGTTGCTGAAATGCTATACCTTTTCCAGTTAGAATTTCTGATAGGTAATTTTCTGCTTAAGGAAAATGTTTTACTATTATGTGTTTATTTTATATCTGTCAATTTTTGTCATCTGTTTTATTAATTCTAATAGTTTTCAGGTGAAACCTTTTTTTTCAGGTATGTATACATCATCACCTACAAATGATGATTTTTCATTTCTTTCTTTCCAACCTTTATACCTTTTTCCCCTTTTCTGCATGTGTTGCATTGACTAGAATCTCCAGAACTATGTTGAGTAATGGTGATGCTTGACAGCCTTCTAATCTTTTTATTGAAGTAAATGGGAATGCGTGTTTTGTTTTACCATTTGATGTAACTTTTGCTGTTTCTGTCATAATCTCCCCTTTTTTCTAGGTTACTGTCACTTATGTTTACCACTAGTGCAAAAAAAGCAGTACAAAGAAATCATGTCAGTGAGTGGAAGCAAATCATAATTTCTGTGGTATTGGTAGCTCACCAGGAGTGAGGAAATCCCCCAGGTCAGAAGAATGTCTGACATATTTTTCATCAGGCAGAGGATATTTCCTTTTATATCTGATTTAATTTAACCAAGAATGATTCTTTAAATCATGCATAATTCTTTACTGCACAGATGAAGTTTCCTCCTATTCCTATTTTGCTAATAGATTTTTTTAAATTTAGGAATGGTTGATTAAATTTATCAAATGCTTGGATTGTAAGTAAGGCTTCTTTTCTTCTTCAGTTTGCTGTTGTGATGAATTATGCAGATAGACCAGACTCCCTGTCACTGCAGTCTCCCTATAGCTTGCTCTCAACATATCTCCAAGTTCAAACTCCCCACTGACTCTAATGAAGTATCTGGCAAGTCCCTACTTTCTGCCTCATCTTCTACTGCTCTCCCTCTAGCTCAGCCATCCTGGCCTCCTAGAACACACTAGGCTTGTTGCCTTCACAGGACCTTTGCATTTCCTTGTCATCCTGCCTGGGATAGTCCTTCCCCAGATGTCACCATACTTAGATCCCTCACTGACTTCAGGCCTTTACTCAAAGGTCACCTTTCTAGTGATTCCTTTCCTGGCCACCATCTCAACTTTTCATGCATTCTTTTCCTGCCTTTAATTTTTTTCTTTTTAGTACATATCACTAATGATGTCCTGTATATTTTGTTTGTTTACTTTGTTTGTTGTTCATCTCTCCCAGTAAAATGTAAGGGCCATGAGATTAGAGATTTAGGTCTGTTTTACTCACTGCCATAACCACAGTATGTAGAACACTGCATAACATGTAGTAGAACTCAGGGAACGTGTTGAATAAATGAATGAATGGCTTTCCAACATTGAACTACTCTTGCATTCCAGAAATAAAGCCTAGTTGGTTATGCCAAATTAGCAGATTTTCACACTCTCAGATAACTGGCTAAATCAGGGTCTTAAAAAATTAAGATTGCTTTGACGTGCTAGGTTATTCAGATCAACCTCTTCTTCGGGACAATTTAAAAAGCTGGATGAAATATAGAAAATATTGATGAACTAACAAAAAATGAATAATAACTAGACCAAAATCAAAAGGCAAGAAACCAGAGCAGTACTTTGTCATAAAATACACGTAACATAAAATTTATCGTCTTAGCCACTTAAAAAAAAGATTTCTTTGAGTGGCAAGGGTAAAACTCATTTTGCAGTGAGAATGATTGTTTATGATATATGCTTTTTAAAAAAAAGTGAATCTTTTTCTTTTTAGATAAAAATAGTTTGATCATATTTTCTGACATTAAAAATAATGCATATTTGTGTAAAAAAAAGAGAAGGAACAGAATAATGCTAACAAAAAATGACAAAATCCATTCCTACTCTCTTCTTCCTTTCCTAATACCCTTTCCGCTTCTGCATTTCCAGGTATTTTCTGGGCTGCAGGGGTGAAGATTTGTGATCCCAAAGAAAAAAGCTGGGGTAAGAAGAGAAAAGGGTGGGACCATTCCCCCAGAGAAGCAGTAGAATTGGCCAGTAGTCCAGGAGAAGGTGATGCCCCTTCCAGTATCAGAGAAGGACAACACGTTTGTTGGGTATGCAAGGACCAAAAAGCGTGACAGTCTCCTGTGGGGTTAGGAGGGAGGGGGCGGGTCGCCCTGTGCTTTGCTAATAATAGGAGGGGAATTTAGGATCCAAACTCACCAGGGATGTAGCCTCACGTGACCAGGAACCTTTGCGCTGAATCTTGGTCCAACTAGCGCTTCCTGCTCAGGTAACCAGCTCCCTGTTTTCTCGGAGGTGGCGTGACTGTGGGCAACAAAGGAGGAGAAGGACCAGGAGGAAGCCTTTCCTGATTCCTGTAGGTCAGTGTGAGGGTGTGTGTGCTGGAGACCCCTGGAGTGGCGGTGGAGGGTAGCAGCACGATTTTCAAGTTTGGAAGAGCTTCCCTGTTTCCCCATGGGGACACCCAAACCCAACATCCTTTTCATTCCATGCTTTGTAAAAGGCAGGGCATTGCCCGCAGCAGAAATGGTTGGTGTTGATGACTTGAGAAAGCGGAGGGGAGGAAGCGGTGGATTATCGGAGCGGGGCAGAACCATGGGGGACTGTGAAGTGAGAGACCAGCCTGACAACCTGGATTGGGGAACAGGGAAAGGTTGGGGTTTGGACTCACATTTGCGTGTTGGTGTGTTCACCCGAGCACTGAGTCCCCATTGTCCCCTGTTTGTTCCTGTCTGGTTCTGGCTTCGGTCAGTGCATGTCTGCCGGTCCATCTATCAGTAGTGGGTTGTCGATGCAGTAGGAGAAGCCCAGCACCTCATTTCCATCTTCCCTCTCCCCCCACTGCCCCGCCCGCCAACCTCCCCATCCCTTAGATCCAGCTTGACTGCCATTTCAGACTCCAACCCCAAGGCGCTTTCACTAGCCTGAGAGAGACCCCTGAGACACTCGTACAGTTGTGACATGGGCCGTGCTCAGAGTTTGGGCTTGATGGCAACTGGACTGGCGATCGGGGCTGGCAGCTGGTACTGCATATACCAACTAACCTGTGGTGGAGAGCAGAACAAGAAGAAACCAGCTGATTCGAAAGATGTTAATCCTGCCTACAAAAAGTTTAGAAAATATAGAAAACTATAAGGAAGAAAATAAAAATAAGCCACTAATAACTTCCATTCCTTGTCTTTCTCCCTGTGTAAGAAATGTGGATGTGTGTGTTTAACATTATTGCAATTACCCTTTTACACCCTCCCAGCATTATTTTTTTTCAGGTTACCTTGCAGGGTATGCCTTTTATTAGTTAATGAAAATGCTTCCTAAGCATTCTTTTAAAGGATTGTTTCACAGTAACAAAATGTAGTAATTACAATCTTCCACTTTTGCTCGCCTTTCATGTACCAAGTATGAAAATTAGTTCTTAGATTCAGGTATGAAAAGAAATATTAGATGTTTTTACTTTCTAAAAAAAACCCCTCCATGGGGGTGCAAGTTGTAGCGCTCCAAAATCTTATGACTATTGACTATCTACGGTTAAAAGAACATATGGGATGTGAACAGATCCCAGAAATGGGTTGCTTTAATTTGTCTGATTTCTCTCAGACTGTTCAAGTACAGTTGGACAATATCCATCATATCATAGACAAATTTTCACAAATGCCTAGGGTGCCTAACTGGTTTTCTTGGCTTCACTGGAGATGGATGGTAATTATAGATTTGCTT